ACTCTCCTGCTTGGCGTAGGCGGTGGCAACAAGGTCCGGCGTCAGCGCTCTCCTGAGAGCGTGCGGGTCGAAGCGAACCTCGCCCTCGTTTGGCGCGGCCGGGTTCGACTGAGGCCGCTCGCCGCGCTGGTACTCGTGCAACCTCGACCTTGAAACTTCGTGCGCCCTTCCTCCCGCGTCGCGCGGCGACCTGTTGTCGCGGTCGTCGGGCCTGCGGTCGCTGCGGCGATGATGCCGATGATGCTGCTGCTGCTGATCGGAGGTCAAGTTCGTCGCGGAGTGGGCGCGCTGCATGCTCTTGCCGGACTCTTGGCGGGCTAGCTGCTCGCGTTCCGACTGGTAGGGGGCGCCGTGGCGGTCGTACAGCTGCTCTGTGCTGTGGCTGCGGTGCCTCCGCGAGCCCCTCGCAGTCTTTGGCCGAGTGAGACGCGGCGGTGGTGGCGGCTCCTGCAAGACGAGAGAGCGTCGATACAGGTTTGCATGGACGCAGCGCGTAACACCCTAGATCATACAGCATGTAGATTACCTGTGATTATATGAGGGCGGCAATTTTTACAAAAAACACACACCAGGGTGTGATGAAGAGTCTGCCAACTTTGAAAGGCAATCGATCAGAGCATACTTAATGGTTGCCACATGGAGAAACAACACTGACCCGACAAAAAATGAGATTGTTTGGCAAAGGAAGACACAAAATGAGTAATACGTGATCAATCTGCAATTTATAATGTATCGACTGTAGATCTACACATGAAACTTGAGGATAACTTAAAAACTACGCTACAGGAAATCCATTAAATTTGTAAGCTTTCAGAACCAAACGCAATTAGTGGTAGGTTAAGCAAGGAAATGGAAAATAAAGGTGAGCGGACAGGATCAAAACCACTAAATAAATTAAATAACACGGGAAAGTACATTTTCATGGAATGAAAGCAAATCTTTACCCTGTAATATCCATGCTTTGGCTCGTTTGTCTGAGTGCCCTCTGAGAGCAGGGTGTTAGCCCTCAGAATTTCCGCTATTTCTTCGTCTGAGGTAGGCAGTGGAGAGGTACCGCGGCTCACTGTACTGCCTGGCCGGCTGCCATACTGCTTCTGCAACTAAGAAGCAGCAGAGAATGCATCAAAGATATCACTAGCAACATATTCTGAGGTGATATGGCATGGAATGCTTTTGTGCATTTGTATGAGTAATAAAGAGGATTGACATCTACAACTTTGGGGGGTGTTGCTCCCTTCCTATAAGGATATGTTGCCTGTTCAATGAACCTACTATAATTACTGTGCTATACACTAATCATAATGTTATAGAGCAGAATAATTCAGATGACATACGTTTGATATTAAATACTAGCAACGTATAAACAAAATCAAGTAAGGCCCACTTCTTGTGCATAAGTAGAAGTAATGGTTTTCAGTGGGTCAGTTATCCCGATGCACACCAAAAATCTACCATATAACCATTGACTAAAACGTCTTTTATTATGATGTTCCTAATCTCATTATGTTAAATGAAACTGGAGACTGGAAATGCACATGGAGACTATAATGAATGATTTACAATGTTTTTCGAGTGTTATCTGTCTATAGCGTGCATTCAACATTAAACACACAATGGAATCGTAATGAGGGAATCTCTGTGACAATGTACACTATCATAAAGTCTGCATGCAATGTGCATGTTCAGTATATGCCGACAGACCAGCAGCCGTTGGGCAAAAAAATCTCTAGCCATATATATGCTATACAACATTATGCGCATGTGCATAATTAATTGACAGTACTGTGGCTAGTGAAACTGCGATAAAATTATCAGTACTGGCAATTAAATATTTATGAAACGTGGTCACATGTAGCTTAATCAGGTCTTAGAACCCATTATCAGAGTATATATACAGCAATTATTTTACTGCATATATTGGTGATTGTGCAAAGCTGGCTGTAAGGGTAGTAGATACAATTTTCGTCAATTAAATTAGACAAAAACTGAGAATGCAGGTGAGGAATCTATATCTGTGGATACATTATGCCAATAAACTTTCTCGATGTACTATAGTTATTAAAAAAATGTACTCTCTGACACACCACGTTGATGAACGCTTGTTGGTGACGACCACTATAGCCATAACAAAACCCTGACACAGTGGCACGCGTGCTAGAGTGTGAACTACGTACACATAAACGAAACTTTTGCAGGACTTTGTAAACCTGCACGGTCACCATAAGTATCAACGATCCACCCTACAATGGCAAGGGCATCCAATGAGCAAACCCGTTTTCCCATTACTGCTATAAGACTGTGGGCACATCCAAGAGAGGAGTGTATGCGACAACAAATTGAACCATGTTGATCATGACATACGTGAGCACCACATGTGACATGACTCTTTCCTGCACCACTCTTCAGAAGGTTATCATATCACATAAAGAAACGTTTCCCAGCACTGGAGTTGGTTCAATAGGTGCTCTAGATCATTTTTGTCTTACCCTCTGCACACAGGGTACATTCGTAGCAGTAAAGATGATTTAAAATACCCAATAAGAACAAAGGGATGATGTGTCAGAACAAACAACGAATTATTTAGGGGAGCACTGATATGCATGTCTGGGTCAATCACTCGTGACAACACACGGCTAGAGTCGACCATCCGGCAAAATACCTTCTTCTGCCTTAGCGCCCTATGCTGAGCCTCCACCTCCTGCGTGTTGAGAGTAGCTTGACCACTCTGTGCTGCCACTTCCTCCAGCACAACCTCATCATCCAACGACGACTGCAATGCAAGCGACATGTATCTGTAATTATTACATGCAAGTATGTTTGTATTAAGAGTAAATAGCAGCAAAATTAGTGATTCGCTTAATGTTAGTAACAATAATATCTTGTCCACAATTAAAGATACTCATATACAAATAAAAAATTGCAAATCCTACAAGATATTTTTCATTGATCAATACGATCATCTTTCGGATGATCGTCACCGATGAAACATTTACCCTGTTGACATTGTGAGTTACAGAATTGTTGGTGGGGCCACACGACAAGCAAGAGTGCAAGTTATGCAGGAGCAAAACACAGTGAACACAAGAAAAGCTGGCGAGTGTTTTTGTCTTACCCAGTCCATGCTCTTATTGACCACAGATGCTGCTTGTCCGACTAGAACCGCATGGAAACGAATTTTACGGAGATCACAATCTAGCTCTACTCCATTATACTGTATGGATAGCTACATAGCGGACAAAACTAACTACAGTCAGAGTAATGCTTACTTCAGATAGTAGCGAGTTACGAAGAGGGTAGCTCTTACTGGATAGTGCATGGTAATTAACACTTACTGGCAAGGGTAACACTTACTGGAGAAGGTAACACTTACTGCAGAGAGCAATGCTAAACGTGGTGTCATGTCAACCGTCAAAAGTAACGATTTCAAAATTCACTGTTGTTTTATGACAAATGTGAATGTGTGCCAAGAGAAATTTGTAGGTGTATATACTATTATTTATCCACTCACTATCATAATATACTCTAAAATTCTAGGGTATAGTATCCCCGCAAGCTGTTAGGTTTCAGAATAATAATAATCTTGTTTTATCTTGTTTGAAATGACTCTATTATCTTGAAGAGGGTAGGAATACTGCCACACTATATTAGTGTTACTTGCTATATATCATACATTGTTATATGATATCAATCGTTTGTTATATGATATTGTTATATAGAATTGTTATATGATATATGATATATGATATATTGTTATATGATATTGAACGAATTTGTCAAGAGATATCATGATTATGTCAGGAGAAATCGCACAATTAGCAATTTTGCAGTTAAATTCGAATAACTACGTAAGTAAAATAGACCGCATTATGAAAGTTGGCAGCCTTGATGTCACTCTCAATAGCTAACTTCAATGATTGATTATTTTATTTCATAATTAATTATCTAACTAGTGGCTGTAAATGATCAAATCTTGATTGTAATCGTCCATCAAGGCATCGCTACTTAGCAGACAAAGCTTACTGTAGAAGAAGTCGTTGGAAGGTTCATCCCTCTGCACCATGTTCATCTCCTGCCTGCTTTTCTCCCAGTCTCTCCCTGGAGGCGTCATGTGGCTCTCCACGGGCAATACGCCATTGATGAATGTGATTGGGTTGTTCAATTCTATATTTGTACAATAATGCATGGACACCTCAACATTTCTTCTAATTATAACGCAATGTCAGCATGTCAATAGCGGCAGCACGCATCCAGATATGCTTCTTCATCATGCTCGATTTATAAGGGAACTGTCTCCCTCACCCACTCTCTCTCTCTCTCTCTTTCTCTGTCTGTCTGTCTGTCTGTCTGTCTGTCTGTCTGTCTGTCTGTCTGTCTGTCTGTCTGTCTGTCTGTCTGTCTGTCTGTCCAATGTCCTGTCTGTCTGTCTGTCGTGTCTGTCTGTGTGTCTGTCTGTCTGTCGTGTCTGTCTGTCTGTCTGTCTGTCTGTCTGTCTGTCTCTGTCTGTCTGTCTGTCTGTCTGTCCTGTCTGTCTGTCTGTCTTTCTCTCTCTCTTCTCTCTCTCTCTCTCTCGTCATCTCTCTCTCTCTCCTCTCTCGGTGTCTCTTTCTCTGTTTCTCTCTCTCCCTCTCTTTTTCTGTCTCTCTCTCCCCCTCTCTCATGCTCTCTCTCTCTCTCTCTGTTTCTCTCTCTCTCTCTCCCTCTCCACTCTTTCTCTCTCTCTCTATCATTCACTCTGTATCACTCATAATCGTTCATTACGCTTAATTCAGATAATTGACAGGAGGTGCTCCCATCCTGGTTTTCCGGAAGCTTGACCTTCGACTGTACGTATTCCTGGGTGTGGCAGTGACAGCAGCCGCAGGATGTGGTACCACATAACCTGCTTCGAAGGAGATGTCGAGGATGTCCTGTAGCTCCTCCAGCCAGTTGATACACACATCACTAGCGAAACGAATGTATGACAGTGAAAATGCAGAGCACCGCGTAGCGAAAGACCATGTACAAATACAGATAACAGATACAGCGTACAGATACAGTTACATATACAGATACAAATACAGATCCAGCATACAGCTACGAATCAATTGCTGCATACCTTAAACATGCCTACAAAAATGCACGAGGTTAGCTCTAACATTTAGATTACAAACGTTCTGCCTTGTATAATGGCAGGGGCAACAGCGCTAGGATGCAAGCGCTAATGCCGGGATTACTCTGTACCTAACATGCCTACAAAAGTGCGTAAGATGCTACAAGATACCGGAGATTTAGCTCAACATTCTAGACGTAAGCGCGGCCATGATCCCGAAGCGCTAGCCGAGGATTGACACTTTGTGTCTTCCAATCACAGTCCACGCCGCCCCTTTATGGATCAAATTGTGAGTACAATATCATTCGGACACGGAATCGCCGATCTCAGGACTAGGGCATTCTGCTAGGCTAGAACGGTTTCATACGATAGAGTTTGGCCCAAATACGAATATAACACGCTGTTTTCGCGCACAGTGCTAAGTTCTTTTTCTTCATTTCGCATATCTGTAAGCACGATAAGCCGCGCCTTATTTGTTGATTGGCATGAATGGGCGTCAACGACGTGAGCTGACTCCTGTACGCTACTGCAGCCCGTTGACTTTTCGTAAATAATGAAATGCCCGGCCGATGCATTTCGCATCAAAGAGAAGAATTCTGCATTTTCACTCGCTATCGCAAGTCAACGAGCCGCGTCATTCAGTAAACATTTGTGTATTCCATCAATTCCACTCTTGCTGTCTATAGTAATGATTTCCACAATTTTGCTCTTTGCCCATAATAATTGATACGAATCACGCTATGTGATTAAGTGTTTTCACGGCACAAGCTGTCTGCATAAATGCTTCGAGTCAGTAGGTCATTCGCCAACGCAGGCAGTGTGCGTAACGGTTCTTATGTGCTGGCACTTTGCTAGCAGCGCGAGCTACGGCGTAGACGTTGTGGCCTCCAGCCTCGCTGGCTGTGATGCCGTGTTTTAAGTTGTAACCTGTTGTTTGAGTTCTTAAACCAGCATTAAACTATACAATAAATGTTTAAGTTTCTACGACGGAGACATAACAAAATGATTTTATTGATATAATAATTTCATAATAATTAATACATTTTTCAGTTCGGACTCGCTATCATAGCGTTATAACCTCCTATATTAAATCCCGGCTAGTGATGAATATTTGGTGAATTTTTTTATTACTTGGTTGCCTATTAATCACCTCGATCCTTTCTTTGTTTGTGAATTTTATATAACTATTATATTTGTTTTGTTCATATATTAAATTCTAATCTTTTTGATTCAGCTAATTGCGGGCAACCCGACCAGGCTCTCCGACTGTTACACGTCGTAGGAACAGTAGCCAATGTAGTGTAAGCGAGAATGGAACTTGTGGCTAATCTCGAGCATTGACTGAGCGACTTTTTTAATATTATATTATAACCTCTAATTTCTAGAAATATCGTCCATATAATCAATTGTCATCTTCTAAACTACAGACCATCCGCTGACCGCTGTGGAGACGTGCGCCGGGCCTCGAATTTGGCGCACGTCTCACTGCGGACAGCGCTTCATACTTGAACATCCCCTTGTCGGCGTGCGCCATATCCCGCGGAACTGCGCGTCTCATCCCGCGCAGCGCTTAGGATCAACAGCAAAGCTGTGCCACGCAATCTTGTATCATGTCTCTCTGGATTACAACGTTCTGCTTTGTACAATGCAGGGCAACAAGGGCTAGGATGCACGAACAAGTGCCGAGTTCACTCTATACCCTGAACATGCCGATACCACGCTCACCGTTTGTCGTCGTAGTGCTGCAGGATGTGTTTGAGCAGAGTACGTTCGGTCGGGTTGAGCAGGAACAGCAGCTGGTCCTTGAAGCGGCTGCTCTCCTGCATTAGTACAGGAAGACTCCAGTCCTGTGGCGACCCGGCAGGATGCCCAGTCATCTGCGTCGCCGTGTCGCGGTGCGTATCCTCCGGCTCCATTCCCACGTCGTCGTCTGCCGGGGAAATTAAACACGTGTACGTGTAGACAGACGATTCATATATGTTAGTCTTCACCCTAACCTAACCTAACACTCTCACACCAACCCCACGCCTCTCGGCCTCCTCGCCAACACTCACTGCTCCTCCTTTGCCCTCTCGCACCCACCTGCTCTCGCTTCCTCCTCTCACACCTCTCACTCTCTTCCTTCGCTCTCGCCACCACACCGCTCCCTTCCCCCTCCACAACCCTCACTCTCTTTCCTTCCTCATCGCACACTCACCGCTCCCTTCCTCACTCTCACGAACCACCACTCTCCTCCCTTTCCTCTCGCACGACCGACCCGCTCTCCTTCCTCCTCTCACGAACCCCTCTCACTCTCATTCGGCCTCCTGCTCAGCACCCACCCGCTCTCCTCCTCCCTCTACCAACCTCTTCACTCTTCTTTCCTTCCTCTCGACCGTCCACCCGCTCTCCTTCCTCCCTCATCACACGCTCTACTGCTACTTTCCTTCCTCTCGCCACACCACCCCGCATCTGCTTCCTTCCTCTCCCACCTAACCCGACTCTCCTTCGCTCCCTCTCACTAACCTCTCACATCTCTTTCCTCCTCTCAGCAATCCTCTCAGCTCTCTTTCCTTCCTCTCGCCCCACGCGCTCCTGCTTCTTTCCTCTCGCCCCAACAGCCACTCTCTTCCCTCCCTCTCAACAACCTTCTCACTCTCTTTCTTCCCTCTCACACCCTCTCATCTCTCTTTCCTTCCTCTCGCACCCGACGCCCCTGCTGCTTCCTTCCTCTCGCCACCAACCCACTCTCCTCTCCTCCTCTCACAACCTCTCACTACTCTATTCGTTCCTCTCGCCCGCCATCGCGCTCCTTGCATTTTCCTTCGCTCTCCCACCAACTCCACTCTACGCTTCCTCCCTCTCACAACCTCTCACTCTCTTTTCGCTTCCTCTTCGCACCCACGCCGCTCTCCTTCCTCCTCCCTCTCACAACTCGCGCCCCGGACCCTCACTCTCTTTCCTTCCTCTCGCACCACATCCGGCCCTCTCCTCCCTCTCATCAACCTCTCACTCTCTTCCTTCCTGCTCGGCACCCACCCGCCTCCCTTCCATCCCCTCTCACAACCTCTCAACTCTCTTTCCGTCCTCTGCACCACAGCCGCTCTCCTCTCCTCCTGCTCACAACCTCTGCACTCTCTTTCTTCCTCTCCGCACCCACACCGCTCTCCTTCCTCCTCTCAGACCACCTCTCACCTCTGCTTCCTCCTCTCGCACCACCGTGCTGCCTCCTTCCTCCCTCTCACAACCTCTCACCCTCGGTTTCCTTGCCTCATCGCAACCACCGCTCTCCTTCGCTCCCTCTCACAACCCTCACTCCTCTTCTGCTTTCCTCTCCGCACCGCTACCCGCTCATCCTTCATCCCTCTCGTCTCACTCGACACTCTTTTCCCATCTCTCCGAATCCCACCAGCTTCTTTTCGCATGCCTGCACTCACCCATGTCGCATGCGGGGTATCCGGACGGTGTCGGCTATGTAGCGCCTTGTGGTCCGCCGCTCAGCAGCGGCATGATGTACGCCCACAGCCGTTTCCTTCGACGGCCGTGTCGACGATCGGCGGCCAGCGACTCCACCAGGTGGCGCACGGTTGTGCGACTCGTTGTAGTGGTGCAGCTGCCTTTCGGAAGTCAGGCCGCTCCATGTCAGTTGAGGAGGTGAATGGATCTTGCAAGGAAACAAGTAAACATTGTTTGTAGAACAAAGTGTAGGTAGTGAATCTGCAACAAAACAAGTAAACATTGCTTGTAGAACAAAATGTAGGTAGTGAATCTGCAACAAAACAAGTAAACATTGCTTGTAGAACAAAATGTAGGTAGTGAGTCTGCAACAAAACAAATGAACATTGCTTGTAGAACAAAGCGTAGGTAGTGAATCTGCAATTAAACAAGTGAATGACACTCATAGAACAATCGGCAGCAGCCTCGGGTAATGTGGATTTAAAATGACAGTGGATGTGAAAATGCTGGCAGTGACCACCCTCTAGTGGCATGAACGACACAGGTCCCTGAAACGACCCTGCCCAATAACTGTTAAGAAGAATTCGAAGAATTTGAGGTAATAAATCTGAAATAAAACATAGTCATCATTTAAGCATGGGTATACACGCACGGGTTTGGCCACAAATTCAGAGGCCGACCCTACTAGAACTTTAATTATCGGCTTCGCGGGGACAGAAACCATACATGAATCAACGTGCTGGTATACAACCGTAAACACACATTGCAGCGCTGTATAATCTAATCGTAGATGTGGATACTTCCACGATTCAATGATTGGCCACTTGGAATGCCTAATATGGATTTGCAAGTATTCGGACCAATTACGTGTGTTTGTTGTGTCCTTGACTTCAGAGAATGAAGTGCCCATAGAACGGATGATGGATGATGACAACAGACAAGCAGGATGGAGATGCTGTGATGAGCACACACGCACACACGCTCCCGCTATCTAAAAGTTTCATGACCTAATCATTCTTGAAAGTGTTGTTGCGATCATAAATAACTACAAGAGCCGCAGAGCGTCTGGGCT